GCAGGAATTTTCTGGTCCATTTGATAAGGAAGGCGACCTTTCCCACAGCAGCAGACTGGGGAGCCATTCTTGGTCCTCCTGATATCACCGGAAGCCAAGGCAGCATGTGATATTAGACCTCAGTTATAGGCCTTACTCCACAGGGCAAAGCACACCTGCAGGCTCTGTCGCCTGCCCGCCATCTACATCTGGTGCCTTCCTGCCACTGACCCGAAGCGCAGCAAGCAGGCGCTCCTCCTGACCAGCCCGGGGCGGCGTCTCTCCAAAAATCAAGGCACGGGAGGGCTCTTCCTCATTCTTTCTTGCTGCTGAACTTTTTGTGACTTCTCAAGAGGAAGAGGAGGAGAGAGAAGAGCATCAGTCCACTTTGCTGCATATCTGGAGCAAACGTTTCACGGAGTAGAGAAAGACCGAAATGGAAATTCCAACCGTATCTGCCTCCACTGCAGTTCATTCTCTACGTAGCAATCAGAATGGTCTTTGAAAAGTCAAACAGAATCTTACCAGGCTCTTACTTCGAACATTCAGTGGCTCTCCACTGATCTTTCTCAGGATGATGACAAACTCCGTGCCAGGGCCTCCGAGGTCCCGTGCGGTCTAGCTCCTGCCTGCCTGTCCAGGCCTGTTTCGTGCCTTACTTCCCCCTACTACTTATGGAATGGCAAGCAGGTCTCCTTTAAGTTCTGCACACCTGCTCCGCTTTTTCTGCCCCCGAGCCTTTGCACATGCTGGTCTCTGCCTGTTCACCGAGGCATCTAGTGCTCATCACCCCTCAGATTTCAGCTAAAGGGCTCCTTTTTCAGGAGGACTCCTCCGATCTTTCCCCTGTGATAGCCTCTCGGCATCATTTATCTTCATCGTGAGACTCGTCACAGGATATGAGTTTACATTGGTTCGAAGTAGTTGATTTATGTCTCTCTGTCTCCCTCACATCTTTATGACAGCAGCAACTGCATCGGTCATCGGCCTCGAGTCAGTGCCTCAAAGAAAACTCCAGTTTTCTTATACTCATGACACTTCTGATACCAAACGCATGGGGCTTTTCGCACACCAGCCAGTTCTCCAACACTCCAGACACCATCTGGGTGTCCCACAGTTCGGTCATGACGTTAACTACCTAGAGTGAGCACAGACTTCAGAAGTTAAGGACTTGGTCCTGCAAGACTTCCTCCACTTCAGATGTCAATCACAAGCTCCAGCTTGTAACCTGTACTTCTGACCAATTGGCTATAAATGTGGGGTTCCCATACCCACTCCCAGCTATAACTGTCCTTAGACCTCAGGGAAACCCTTACTTACATTTACCGGTCTATTATAAAGGACATAATAAAAGATACAGGTGAGCAACCACATGGAAAGTTATATAGGGCAAAGTCCTAAAGGGACCTGAGTGCAGAAGCTTCTGTCTGAACCTCATAGTTCAGACATTTTTATGGGAGTTTCATCACAGAGACACAATCAATTATTAACTCAGTTTCCTATCCTTCCCCGCTCTGGAGGATGAGGGGGTAGGGATGAAAGTTTCAAAATTCTAACTATGACTTGGTCTCTCTGGTGACCAGTCCCCAACCTGAAGATACCCAAGAGCCCACCAAGAGTCACCTCATTAGAACACAAGACACTCCTATCACCCAGGAAGTTCCAAGGGATTTAGAAGCTCTTCGTCAGGAACTAGGCGGGGGCAGTGACCAAATATATATCTTCTAAGTCACAATAACCTCAAAAGATATATGTTGAGTGAATGTGTCAGTGAGTGAGCTGTGATTTGGGGATCTGCTGAGAAGAGGAAGTAAAAGGAACACTTCAATAATCATGAATTATACATTATTCTTTATTATCAAAACAGCCAAGTTAAGACACCTACGTTGCCAAGCTAGAATTAGGAAGTGTTTAAAAAATGGCTCCTTTTAAAGAGAGAAGTGCAAGTCCATTACCAATTCTACTTGAAATCAGTCAGTGTTACATGGAAGCAGAGCTCTGGCACAGACATGAAGCCATGAATCCCCTGCAGTTACCATAACAGAAGAATGGATTTCAGTACAAGAAAACAGAGCCTACAAAACGTGCTTCTCCTTGGCATGCCTTTGGCAATGACATTTTATGCAGTAGACTAAAAATAAGAATTCAAATATGATGCACGTTATTATAGGAAGTGTCAGACCTTTTATACACAGTTGACGTAACACGTCACCCTCTCACCTAAAGCATCTGTGAAGGTGGCGAAGGAGAACAGTGGGCGGATCCAGTGATTCTTTGTCATTCCAAATTCTGACTCCATCTGGGGCCTCTGTGAGGTGACAGAACCATACCAGGGATAAGGCACAGAGAAATGAAGGTCACGAGGCCCAGAGGTCATCAGAATGGACATGTGTAGCTATTACATAGAATTCTAGGAGGAAGAATTTCAATTCTGAAGAAGTCATATAGAATCCACTTTTCAAAAATATCTCAGAAAGGTAGTAAAAATGAAAGTTCAGTCTGGCCTAATTAATTTGATACCTGAGTTGAAAAAATCCTGGTTCTCGAAAAGTTTTGTTCTCCTTTTACATTAATACAGTAAAAAGCTGTTGGTTTTTAAAAAGTATCAAAAGGGTAAATCTTCGAGTATGTATAAAAAACTTCACAGATCCTTCATCAGCCACAGTGTCGAATAGTGGTCTCTATTTATTCTTTAAAACAGTTGTTTAGAAATAGTTGATTCTAGTGCCAAAACCATGAAAAGGAAATCCTGCAGGAGGACCCTAAAACTTAATACTATCCACTTTTATATTCTTAGTGGTCGATGTATAGAAATACTAAAGGTTTTCGGCATGGGCTGCTTTGTAAGTAGAGTCTTGACTGCATCCCCTCTAACTGGCTGCAAGGTGCAAGATGTCGGTGCCAAAGGCGGCCTTTTCCAGTTTTTATCAGTCATAGAAATGCGATGTAATCAGAATGTATCGGGTAGCTCGGCAGTGAGGTCTGACGGGATTCCAGGGCAGAGCTGGTTTGGTCTGCAGCCCCGCTGAGGGTCTCCAGGGTGGTCCAGGCTCCCTGAAAACCTTAGAACCAGGGACGGTATGGGTGGAGTCTGTGTCTCTGTGAGTCCGGCTCGCTCTCTTGTCCCAGTTATCTGTTGCTGTGTAACAAACAACCCAAAACTTAATGGATTAAAACAGCAATTTTGTTCTCTGAGTCACTGGGCAGCTCTCACTGGGTGTCTCGGTCATGGGTTAGCAGGCTCTGGAATCATCTGAAGGCTGCTTCTTGCCCAGGTTTAGTGACTGGGCTTGGATGGTTTGCAGGCTGGGGGCTGCTTGGACATCTCTCCTCTCCATGTGGCTGCTTGGGCTTCCTCACAGCGGGGCAGTCTCTGGACAGTCAGACTTCTACCTGGAGGGTGGCTTCCTTCACAGCCAGAGTGTCAAGCGACAGGGAGTAGAAGCTGCCAGCCTCTTAAGACCAAGACCTTGAAGCTGACATAGCACCACTTCCACTGTTGGATAAGCAGTCAGAGTTGCCCACACACAAGGGGATGAGACATAACTCTCAGGTCCTGAGGGACAAGTGCCAAAGAATTTGTGGCCACTTTTGATCCTCCACATTCTCCAGCCAGGACCCAAAGGGTTTGTTCATAGTTGGACATTATCTTAGTCTGACCTCATAATGAGCTGCTTTGTATTCATGTAGCTCTTTATGCATTAAGAAAGTTCACGTATCCTGTCTCAAATTGTCCTCCCAACATCTCTGTGAGACAGTAGATTGGATACTAAGGTGCCTGAGGTACAGAGGCCAAGGCCTAGGATCACACAACTTCCTAAGGACAGAATTGAGACAGACATCCGAGTCTCTTGACGCTTAGTCCATGCCGAGGGATTCTGGGGTGTGTGTGTACCCAGGTCTCTGTGCTCCCTGACACATATAGACCTATAGCGGAGGAAAGCACATTTCCCTTCGTCCCAAAATCTGGCCACAGACCTTTGCAGGTGAAGCTCAAGGTGCAAGCAAAGGTGATGTTAAAATGACCGCCCAGCGCTGTGCCGTCAGTAAGGACTCTTGAAGCCACTGTACTGGCCTTGACTCTTGGGAAACTCCCTCCGGATCCTCCAGCGGCAGCAGCTGGGCAGGATAGCAAAGTCAGCCAGGTCCTGCGAGCCGAAGCGCCAAGTGGTGTAGCGCCTGTAGGCACAGTGCCGTAGCCGCCTGTTGGTGGCCTCTGCGTCCAGCACCAGCAAGGGCTCCTGGTAGAGCAGGAGGAACTGCAGGACCTGCCTGGACAGGACGAGCTTCCTGAACGGCTCTGAGGTGGTGATGCAGGCGCCTGGCTTCTTCCGACAGCACAGCTCCTCTAGGCACCGGTGGCTCTCGGGCAGTTGGGACGGGAGGCAGTTTCCACACTGACACCAGCCCGGGCTGTTGCTGGATCTGGGAGTCACCTCTTCGCTGAGCAGCTGGATCTCCTCTGGGTGCCCAGGAGTGGGGGCCAGGTCTTGGATAGACAGGGGCAGCCTGGACAGGTCTGTGAAGTCCATCGAGGGTCTCTGAAAAAGTCAAGTTTCCAAACGCATCAGCAGTGATGACCCTGAGGGCTCCAGTTTCTCTAATTTTATTATTAACTTACAAAATTACATTTTATATCACATTAATACTAGTGGCCATCATTTACTAAACGTGTATCAGGACCGTGATAGTCTTTTACAAGCATTGCCTCATTCAGGCCTTCGAAGAACCTCATGAGAGATGTGTCCTTATCGCTATTGTATAAATTTAGAAAGTGAAATTCAGCACAGCCAGGCCTCAGTGCCGATAGCACCTCTTCAAAGAGCCCTTCTTGCCCTGAGCACCCAATCTAGGGAGTTCCCCTCCTCCCTTATCACGTCATGAGATTCTGCATTCATCACGGTACTTATTGCCGTCTGAAGTGGTCTTTTTAATTGATACGTTTATTGGACGATTCTTCTGCATGAAAGCAGGGGCCCTGTCCGCCCTATTGTCACATCCGCAATGCCTAGGACAGTGCCCAGCACACAGCAGAGAGTACGTGTTTGTTGGCTTAGCTCCACTCTGTCCTTTTCCACGAAGCTCCCCCTTCTGGCGCATCTGTTTGTTAGGTTCCAAGGGAAGTTGCCACAGTTGCCGTCATTTACAAATGTCTATTCTTTGTGACATACACCTTCATTCACCAGACAAAGAAAGTCTGAGTCAAGTACATTCAAACCGAACAGTTCTTGTCCGTGAATGTTCACAGCAGCACACCTTGGTTTCAGACTTTCAGCCTCCAGAACTGCGAGACAGTAAATTTCTGTTGTTCTATGCTCCTTAGTACATTGTGGTGATTTATTATGGCAACTATAGAAAACTAACACGTTAGCGAAGATGTCCAGCCACCAGAACTGCTGGAGAGAGTGTGAATGAGAACGCGCAGCTGGAGGATGTGTGGCGGTGGCCACTAAGCCTCGTGACCCAGCACATCCACTTGTAGGTGCCATATGTTTACCATAGCGGCATCGCTGGTGTGACCCCCAAGCTGGAAAACACCCAAATGTCCACCGACAATAGGAGGGATAAATAAATTGGATGTTAAGAAAATAGAAATTATACAACAGCGAGAAGGAACTGTTGCCATATGCAACATCATGGATGACTTTCGCAAAACATGTCGAGTGAAAGAAGCCAGGCCCTCAACAGAGTGTATACTGAGGATACGCTATAGGATTCAAATTTTATAAAATACTATGCTCTTTATACCTGAAACTAATATAATATTGAATGTCAACTGTGATTGGAGGGAAAAAAAAAAAACTTTTTTTTTTTAACTCTAGAAGAGGTAAAACTAGCCTTTGGATACAGGGTGACAGTGACTTTTAAGGGACGGTGATTGACACATGAAAAAGACTTCTGCTATCAATAGTTACTTTTTTAATGTGGGTGCTGGTTTTACATGTGTTTACTTTGTTAAAATTCATCAAGTGCGATTTGTATAAATTTCCAGATGTACTTATGTTTAATAGTAAGTTTTCTTTAAAAAAAAGACTAAATGTTTTAACTTACTGGGACTTTTTCGCCATTGACATCTTGCAGACTTCTCCCAAGTAGCTGCTGGTCCACCATCCTAATGTGCGATT